TACGTTTTATTTGAATAAAAACGTACATGTCGTACATAACATCCCTCGGCCATCTTCTTGCTTAGAAATGATCAGACAATTTGGTGTTGTACCATTTTCCTCATGCACGTGTTAATTTTTACACGCTACACTTTCCTATTTAAAGGATAATATATATTTATCTTTTTATAATAAAGATCATCGTCAACTCGCGTGGAGGATTCAGATGGACGACGTTTCGTGCTAGCAAATAACTCGAAGCGTAGATCAGGCGAGAATCTATGTGAATCTCTGCCCGTCACGTGAAGCCTGTTACGAAATTAGCTTGATTTTCTTAATTACTATCATCATTGTTATTAGTTAATAACGTCGATTGCTTCGGTCATTAAGTTCCTCTTGATTCATTTCGCTTGTACAATCTTACGCGAAAAACTTGATAAAGTCTGAACGTTCGTTCGTTTGTTCGAAGAAAAATGGCAATTATCGAATGTCAAGTCGTTCTCGCTAAAAGATCGCCTGAATTTATAACCGAGATACGTCAAATGCAATATCACCAATTGATGACAACAGCGTGCAATCGTTTCTTTACCGAATCCTGCAGTTTCTTCGGCCGAGAACCACCAGTTTATAAAATTACTTACAGACACGATCTGGAGTAAGTGTACTATTGCCTTCGTGGCACATGGTCGTAAAATGGAATGGATAAAACCGAGCTACGACTGCACTTTGCTTCCTATCTTTATGCACCCTCAAGATCAGTTTCATCGTTAGCGATAGTAATCGTAAACCGTGTACTTATGGAAAGCATAAGGTTTTTGCCACGGTGAAAGAGCCTTTATTTCCATGGTGACGAATCTTTCTCCGTGTTCAACACATTTTCTATACCCTGTCAAAACAAACGAACTGCTTTCTAACAATTTTGCTTTAACAATTTGCCGTTCGATAAAAATAAGAGGGAGAGAGCGTCCAACTTGTGACACAAATGGGAATTGAGAATTAAAACGGAGTTAGCCACTCGTTTTGAAAGGAGTGAAAAGTATCGAAAATGGCCAAATACTTGGGAGTAACACTCGACAGCGGAAACGACACGAGCGATCACAAAAAGCATTTACTCCATTGATAACAAAGAGAAGAAACTGAAAAACATGGAGGCATCGAGTCTAAGCGGCAGTAAAATCACACATAAATAAAATCGAAAAAATGCAAAACAAATTTCTCGGAATCATACCCAATGGCAGAACTACCAAGAATCTCTCAACCGCACATATCAGCCAAACCACAAAAAATCGCTAGTAAGACAGACAGGGAACTGCAACATAAAGGAAATCCCTCTAAAAATCAAAATCAGGTTATACGTGCAAATATGCAATTAGCGAAATTTAGAGAACAGCAAGCAAGAGTTTCTTGAAAGAAACCAATCGCACACATGGTACAACACTAATTTACTATTCTCGAATATAGGCAAGATAAACTCCAGGCAGTGCAGAAATAATAAAGCAGCAAGGGGAAAAAGAAGAAAAGAAAAAGAGAAACGAAAATGTCCAGTGGCGAGGAGCGTTGCTTGCGCAAGCGTTTACGAAAATGAACGTCGGCTAGAAACTCTAGCGTACGAGTTACAACTCGTCGTCGTCGTCGTCGTCGTCGTCGATAAAGAAGACAAATTAACCGAGGGTCTAGGTTGAGAACCTGCGACCTCGTCGTAGAACGACGAGCACGAGGTGGACCGGTTCGGGTCACGGAGGAGTCTTCAATCCCTGTTCATGCTCTCCTCGAGCTACGAAACGGACACGAGCCTCCTCCTCGCGTGACACGCGCGTGCGTGCGCCTTCCTCGGCCCTCTTCGGCGAAGATTGAAAAACGACTGGAGGGAAGAGAGAACGAAAGGAAAAAGAGGAACGGTGCTGCGTAGTCGATCGATGTCCTCGGACTTGCACGTTGCCGAAGCCGGAGATTTCAACGGGGTGATAGCGCCGACTATCTGTCTCGTGTCCTGTCCCCCTATAACCTGACACGCGGCAGAGTAGACGCGAGAAGACGCCTGGTAAAACGATATTTAGGGATTAGCGGCTGGCATGTTGAGGAGCTTTCGATCCGGTTGGCGGATCGCCCGGCTGTTGCTCCGAATTCGAAGCAAGTGAGGATTTATTAGCTCGTCGAGTCGAACTGCAACAAGGATGCGCAGTCTTTCAATTTCAACTTCAACTACAAGTTGGAAAATATCAATGATGTCAAAGGTCTCCGTGACGATTGACGAAAAAACTCTGTAGGGGAGATCGTTGGCGTAATCGTATCGCGTAGAAGAGCCGAGATAGAAGAGAGCCGTGGAGCATCCGAGCGCGGCACGCACGGCAGGTTCTCTTTCTTTTCGAGCGAGGTCGCGTGACCCCGAAGCGTAGACGCGACCGCTAGGCTTCCAGGTTCAAACGTGATGCCAGCCACACACGCACGCACGCACGCACGCGTGCACACGGACACGCTACACGCGTAGACGATCGTACGTACTGGAACATGCGTGTGGACGCCTGGTAAGGCGATGGAATGCGCCAGTCCCTCGTTCTTCTCGGACGGATGGCTTTGTCTTCGAAGCTGACGTCTCGGTCTGAAAGCCAGCTCGCTCGTCCGCGGCGCAGGATGCGCTCTTTATCCACGCAACGCAAGGATCCTCATCGACGGGACGACACCCGTGTCTTCCTGCTAGCCTCTAATCTCCTCTAATCGAATTCCAGCCTAAGGTCTACAGCATCGAGACCAGATCCGTCACGTAAAGCACTCGGTCAGACTGATCCATTAGGCCGACTGATCCATTAGCCGTGTGCTACTTTTCGCACGGAATTATACTTTAACGCGCGATCCTTCCATCTGTTC